GCAAGTCCTTGTGCTTGTAAAGTAATGGAATCAAATTTTTTAATTGTAATTTTCTTTCTATAAAGTCATTGTTCTTTCAAGCGATGTTAAAGCCTCCATAATATTCATTAAAATTGATTGAAGTTGTTTTCTTAACAAATTAATTTTAAACAATACTCTATACCAAATCATGATACAAAAGGTAATCTAAACTTGTGATTTTTGAAGCAGTTGATTCTGCTGTAATTTTCAAAACTTTTAATTGATTTAGTCACATCTTGTAAGGCTTCATATATTTTTGGCAGTTCAAATCGAACCTTTTTACTTTTACAGCATTGACGGGACTTTCCCATCTAGTATCGCTTAGTGCGTTAAAGGTCAGAGAGGGACATTTTTACTGTACAATTCCCCATCTTTTTGTTGACGCAGAGACTTTATAAACCTCAGCAATGATGTTGAAAAATGGGGCAATCTGAAGTGAACACTTCGCTGAATCGACCACTACTAAATTTAAAGTGTGACTGCAGCATGGACTGGAAGGTAAAATGCTCGGGAGTTTTTTTTTAGTGAGAATGTGATCTTGAACGCCCTTTCTAATGCCTTTCATAATGGCGCCTTTATCATAACTCTGGTCCAAGTTATTGTTTTCTACAGACTCAATGATTGCCTTTGTTAATTCAATTCATGTTGAACCTAAAAATCAAGTGAAATCCAAGAAAACTTTCATTATGTCCATGATGTCATCTCATTGTCTTTTCCCATTTTGTGCACAGAATTTGGGTTTTCTTTGGCTCTTAAAAATTGTTTCTCCATAACCGGGTTGCATTGGGCTAGAGACTCAAAAATTTTTTGGATGATTTCCGTTATTGTCATGAACTCTGTTATAAGAACCTCTGTATGGAAATGTTACTCTATCATGAGAACCTCTAATGCCAGGTTTTGTTTTATCTTCACCATTTTTACTGTCCCAGTGTTCCACTTACTATTTCAGACTTGTGTCTGTTATGGTAACCACTGACGCATGGTAACCACTGACGCATGGTAACCACTGACGCATGGTAACCACTGACGCATGGTAACCACTGACGCATGGTAACCACTGACGCATGGTATCCACTGACGCTCCATTCGGACTTCGAATTTTTAGCTCCACTCATTTGCTGAAGAAGTTTAAAAAATTCAACACTGCGCTCCTGTCTTTTTAAAATATGTGAAATGTGTCGCTTAACATTAACACCATTTCGAGCCAACATAACAAGTTGCCAATTCAACCAGGGCATCAAATATGTCTTTAATTGCAATACTGAGAAATCTAGTTTAAATATTTTTTCGGCAGGAAGCCTTCATCAGCGAACAAACAACAGTAAAATAGAATTAAATAAATATAGCACTTAGCTGAAAAGTAAGATTGGGGGAGGGGGGCAGCAAAAGAGTTTTTTTTTTTTTTTTTGTGGAAGGGGGCGGCAACAATCTTGGCCCGCTGCGGGTGGCACTAACTCTATCTAGGCCTACGCCACTGCTTATAGCAACAATTTTTGACAATATGTGACTTGCTAAAATTAAAATAATAATTGTTGAATCCTATTTTAAAAGTGTGTGCGATGGATTTCAGGGGATGGGAGAATTTTCTGGGACATCTTTTGTCTACTAAAGATGGTGCGGGACCCCATTTGAGGAACCCTAATATTAATATATTGCACAGTCCACACAGACGAAGTCCACATACTTCATCCAAACCTACCAGTAAAGCAGAACTTCAATCATACGGTCGTCTGCCTAATACAAGAGAAGTCCAACGTGTAAAATGACCACATAGAACTTGTAGATCAAACAGAACGATGTCAAACAGAATGATAAGCTTATAGTTTATGTCATTCATTTCATGGATCCAAGCAAAAAAATTGACAAATTATTTTATTTCCTTTTACTTCTCTTCATAAAATATCAGGATCAAATCTGTGTATTCCCTTTTGTATCAAAGAACAACCATCCTGAATGAATGACTTAACTATCCTTGTCTACTACAACCATGAAAACTCAATTGAACAAGCTAAAACAAAAAAATCACTAAGAATCAAAACGAAGTTCCCAAACTGTCATTGTATTTTATTTAATGCATCAAATAGAGAGACAAATACTAAAATAATGTTAGTAAGATGCTAGAAACAATATATGAAAATATAATATGTTCCTATTAAAAGGGACAAAAAAGATTCAATAGTCAGTATTGAGAAACAAAAAAAATAATTTGATTGGGTAGCCCTGTACCAATGTCAATAACATTAAAAATGCGGAAGGACTCCTATGATCTTATATAAGTGTCCATGTCATGTTTGCAACTAAATAATAGTTGATGATATTGAAAGAACACAGAATGAAATAATCTCTGTCAGCTCAAACAAGCACACTTGACAAGGAACTAAACATTGTCATTTCATTCCTATCATTTAATTAATGAAATAGTAACCTTGACTGACACAAGAAGTGCAGTCATGTAATGGGGTCATGTAATGGGGAGTCTGTAGCTGGGAGTAATTTAGTGGGAGTCATGTACCGGGGAGTTATTTAGCTAGGAGTCATGGATAAGGGAGTCATTTATTGGGGAGTCTGTTCTGGAAGTCATTAAGCTAGGAGCCATGATGTGGCAATTCTGTAGCTGGAAATTATGTAGTGGGGAGTCATGGATCAGGGAGTCACGTAATGGGGAATCGATAGCTGGTAGTAATATAAGTGGATGCGATGCAATAAACCATAACATGGAATCATTTGGGACACTGTAAATATATTTAAAATACATTTGTGCATTTTAAAACCAAGCTGACTTAAAGTCAACTACCAATAAATATGTGACATGGAGTCATGGAGCTTGAAAAAAATTATTCTGACATTCCTTTCTAGATTTCTTTTCTTTTTTTAAAATTATTTTTTTGTGAGACTCCACCAAAGAACAAATAAAGACATAGGACCACCCCCCCCCCCCAACCACCCCCAAGTAAAAGTAAATCATTCAATGAGATTTCCTGATGTGTCTTACATTTAGGTGTCAACATTTCATGTGTGAAATAGTTAAAAATCTCAGCTAGATGATAACACTCATAACACCAAACCACTTTGCATTTTCCTAACCTAACTCAAGAAGAGGCATTGGAACGATATTAGAAAAAATAAAAATAAAACGGGTTTGTTAATCCACAGTAACATTGATGATTACAACAACAAAACAGTCACTAGTAAATGGAAATGAATGGCAATAAATGCTATTATAATGTCCAAGAAATCTGGTCATACTCACTACATCTCTTGTTAGCATATTAAGTTATCTACATCTATTTTTAGCATGTTTAGTTATCTACTACTGATGATGAGCGTACTCACTACATCTATTTTTAGCATGTTTAGTTATCTACATTTGATGACGAGGCTAAACTGGTTCCACACATATTATGTACATAAAAAAATAAAACATTTGTTTACAATGAATAACCAAAGTTAATGATCTTCAATAGCACTAATTAAGATGTTTCATTGTTATATAATAATTCATTAAGTTCTATTTTAGTCATATGTCAGCTGTGTGTTAAACACATTAGATGTACACAAACAGTGTACACGCAAATTCATTTGTGAAATAATTAGCTTCAGTTGGGTGTAAATAATTTCAGTGTAAAACTTTGGAATGATGGTAATACTGATCTAAGAGAATGTATCAACCTTTTCATTTTAAAAGAAACATTTTCAAAACTTCAATTGAAGTTGAAGTTCAAAAATTGTCTTAAAGTGTTAAGATAAAAATAATGAAATACAAAAATATGTCAAAGAAGTATTCTATACAACATAAAAGATATCAAGATTCCCAACATATTCCAAGTCCTGAAGCAGTTATTATTTATACTACAATAATGAATACAATGATCAAGCCACACTCTAGGCACATAGAGCCACACCATAGGCACAGAGAGCCACACTCAGGGCACAGAGAAGTCTTCATTGCAGCACATCAAAGGGAAATGGAACAATAACGTCCTTGCGGCTTGATGTGTCTTTTTTTTCATATTTAAATCATATAGCCATAACAAATGCAAATGTTAAAAAACTTCAGTTCTTGCACCATATTTATATGAACACAGCAAATTGCGATCGAGGACCAACAATTTTCAGGTCACACTTTTTCACAATTTCCTCATCTCCTTGGTACTAGTTTTTTAAAAGTATCATGCACTTAAAGATGCACATCTCATGGTCTGGACATTAACACAAACACACAAAGAAATATTTTAAAAGAATAGCTTTGCAATACTGATTGTTGTTGGGTAAAAAAAATTGGAAACTTCCAAGGCACGAATGTTTTTATGGCAAGTTAAGTGTTGTGGCGCCACCTACCACCGGTGATCATAAGGACAAGTCACACAGCAAATAGTGTTTGGGGTTCATCTTGGAGAATATCATTCAGTGTTTCTCAAAACTTTTTCTTCCTGTGTCAGGCTCAAAATAAGAAGGTATTCGGTTCAATTTTTAAAAATTACTTTGCTTTGAACATAATTAAAATTAGTCTGTTCATAGTTAATTTTAAATGTCTTAGCACAAGCAACTGGGACTAGGTGGTGGGGCCAATAAGATGGACATGATCTTAATTTGAGTTCCAGATTGCCAGTTCTTAACAAATAAAAAAATACAAAGGATAGCATAGAAACGAAAAGTCCAGGGCTAGAAAAATGAACCAGTGAAGACAAAATATGCTACATTACAAATGTCATATGCTTTTTTAACATTTAACTGCACTCTTAAAAGACCATAACTAAGTATGTTCACCACTTTAAGGTGAATTACATATTTCAAATTTTTTAAAATGTGACCTCTCATATACCTATAAAAAAATAATGGATATTAATAATCTAAAGTTCTCACATTGACAAAAGAAAGTAATTAAGAGATGAAATCTACAAATTGTAATGACAACGATCATGCAAATAAGCATATTATGTGTTAATTATTTAAATACTAAGAAACATTGAAAAAAAAAATTAATTTTGCATAACATATAATTATAACTAAGTGAAAGTGTATTCCTCCAAGAACCAATGAACAGTGCGAATGAATTTGTAAACTTTCAAAATGATTAAAACTGTCAATTATATTAAAAACAAACATTTTCACAGGGGCTCTATTTCTTTAAGACCCTTAAAAAAAAGTATTTGAAAATAATTTAATAATAATTTAACAAAATAATTTCAATTTTTTTTGTTTTTTTTTGCGGGCTCAAGTTTTGCATAGGGACATTTTATAATATTCTGACACTAAAAATTATAATTTCTGCCACAAAGAATAAGCAATTATTGGATTGTGTTTAAGACCTTAAAAAAAGTATTTGAAAATAATGTAATAATAATTTAACAAAATAATTTCAAGTTTTTTTGTTATTTTGCGGGGTCAAATTTTGCATAGGGACATTTTATAAATATTCTAACACTAAAAAATTTAAATGTCTGCCACAAAGAATAAGCAATAATTGGATTGTGTTTTGATGATCTCACTACTTTTCTGTCCTGAATTCACATAAACATTATTTTGAAATCTGAGGGATGAAAATGGGGGTATGTTTTGGGGTGGGATTTTGTTCAAACTTTAGTTCAGGCTGCATGTAAATGGCAACTGACATGAATTTTAGTGGCACATACCATTAATTACATTACTCTTTTGACAAACAAAAATTAATTTCATAAGTAAAATAACTGATAAAGAACTCTTCCAATCTCTCATTAATGTAATCATATTTTATAATTGAAGCTGCTCTTAGATGGGAAATTTTCAAGGCAAAATGGCTCAGTTGTGCTGCAATTAAAATTTTCATTTAAATAAGTTGTATGGTATTTTAAACTATATGAATCATCAAATCAGATCATTAAATCAAAGTAAAATATATAAATTAATTTGCATCAAAGATCAATTAATTCACATGAACATATTCTAACATTTAAAAAAAGAATTTAGCTCAAAATGTATAACCGATTTATGACTGAGTGATTTATAGAAAAATTAATTATAAATACAAGAGACGGAATGCTGGTGGTGGAAATCAGGACTGCATTGTCAGAGCCAGTAAGGCAGAGATAAAAAAATTAGGTCGGAGTCAGAATCAAACCCACTTTTTTGGGGGGTTGAGATCGCACAAATTTATGACTCTGAATAAACCTTTGTAAACATGACAACAGCAGGGCGTCTCAGAGCTCAAACTTGCTGTGCTCTAAGCATTATCCTGGGGCCTGATAAGTGACTGGTGTTACAATTATTTGAGACCTCTGTTTTTCATGTCACCTTATGTAGAAGTTAGATTCTCCGAAGTTGTTCAAATTATTACCGACTTCAGAGTCTTCGTGAATATACATATAATTGTGACCAGGATAATGTTATTCATTCTAAAATTCTGCATGGGAAAGGAAATATTGCTGGAAAAAATGTACAGTAATTGATAGTGATAATTTGAGCAGCAGACCAAGTTTTCATAGTGATATAAAATAAAACTGACACGAGTTAGACAATACAGAATACAGACTTGCATTCGGTAAATGGGAGAACTTTTGTTGCAGATTTTTCTCAGACAGACATGTATTAAGTCACAGTGTTCACAGTTACAGATTAAATTTGTTCTCCAAAGTCAAGTAAAATAAAACTGTTTCACATAACGGGCAGAGGTTGCATTTATTTTTGTTGATGACTAGGCTCAAGAATAACTTAGTAAAATTGTGTCACCAGAAACGGATTGCTGGAAATGTCTTATTAAATCATAGAATTACGATATAAAAATATGTACATGTTGCAAAATTGTTCAAAAGTTTTAAAACTTTGGGGCTGATTAAAAGGTTATAATTGGACATAGAAATAGAGCAAAAGAGTTAAACGTGAATGTTTAAAAAAAACAGTAGAGTGATGAGCTCAATGATTTAATTAGCTATTTAAGGTAGCTCCATCACTGAGGTAGTCAGTCACAGTCTAACTGGTTCAGACAATGGTCATGAAAAATACAACAATTTTTGTCATGTCAACTTTTCAATTCAACATGTTCAACCTTGAACTTGACTTAACAGTTATATTGAAATACTTAATAACAGATAGTCTCTTCATAGCTATGTTCACGCAACTCACTATTTTTGCAGTAAATCTTTTCCATTTTTGTTATTCAGCTTCAAACAATTGAGAAAAGAATAGATTTTCCATCTTTTGATCCATTAAATATAAAGTTTTTTTTAACAAGGAGTTGAAGGGTTTGGTAAAGCATCAAAAACTTACAAGCTCTTTGACTTACATACATTTAAATGTTTCGTACAAATACAAGTAAAAATTTAACAAATCACCAAAAATTGTTTGCCTTGGTACATTCAACCAAGAAAAATTAACTGCAAATTAAAACTATCAATTTACCTACAGTAACAAAATACCCAATCAGCAAATATTTGATGTTTTACACATTTATCCTTGCTCTGTAGGTAATAAGTTATAAGACATGCTGGGTTTTTCAATAATTATCTATTTTAAAAAGCAGTAAATAGTAATAATAATTATGTAGAAATGAGAAAATTTCACTAAATGATAGTGTGTGCTTACTTAAAAACTCTGGCATTTTGAAATTAGCATTATAAAGACATTGACATGTAAAGTAAAGCATTAATGACTAGACAGTGTGATCATGAGTAATGATGTACTTATAGACTTTAATGGGTAATGATTTACTCATGGACATTGTCTGGAAAATCTTATTTGAGCGTGCCCACATGAGAAAAAAAAAAATCCTTATTGACCTCCTCAGCGTTGATTAAAACGTCTCCACCTTGCCAGTTGGTCAGTTATCTGTCCATCTAGGGTACGTGATAGAACTATGCCTAAAATCTGTTTAATAATCAGAGATTATGTTTAATGAGAGTCATTTTACAATAATTATAAATTCTTCTTATTTACACTACTCAATAATCAAGTGACTGTAAAAATCATCACTTTCAATAATGAACTTTTTGAGACTGAACATGCAAAGCTAATGAAATTATTAATTTTTTTTTTAAATTGTTTGAATTAACATTTTAAAAATGGGGGGAAAACACTGACCAATTTCAACAAAAAAAGTGAATACTGAATTAACTAATATTGAAAAGATTTTAAAACATTTGACTAATTAACAGAGATTTTAAAATATTTGACTAATTAACGGAGATTTTAAAACATTTGACTAATCAAGATTTTAAAACATTTGATTAACAGTTTGCTGGCATTTTGAAATAATGCAGTGGGGTAGCTTATGTGTACAAGTTTTAATTGCACTTTTAAAAGAAGAAAAAATAGCCCTGACATGCCCTTTATTTTGATTAAATTCAGGGAGAGTTGTATATTGTGTCAGCCTCACTCTTTCCTCCTTGCCTACTTTGATCAAGCAGTGAGACTTAGTCAAGGCAATTGGAAATAGACAAGCATGCAGTGGATGACCAGCAGTGAAATTTTCTTTGGTCTCACTGGGGTCTTTACATGTTCCAAGTCACATTTGCTGCACCTGTTTTTCCACCCATTGGATCATGTAGGATCTCTTTTGCATGGTCCACCAGATCCAGTCTTCCCATGGCAGGATGACACATCCTCATATTGTATCCATGTCTTGTGACATGCTCACAAGACATCCTTGTCTTGTGACATGCTCACAAGACATTGGGTGGGCACAAAAGTTGTGGGATTATTAAATTATTGTATAAGGGTGGTGGCGGAATAAGGAGCTGCTCAATTTTTTTTTATCGTCTCTCTAATTTAGTTATACTTAGCCAAAAACATATGATCTTTTTTTTTTGCTACATTTGTTTTCCCAAAAATTTGATTATTTTTCTAATAAACTACTGTCAAACTTTCTGATTTTCTTCTTTTTTTGCTGCTCTAGTTTTGGCATTCCACCATCTTGTTGCAATTCGGAAGTCTACATATAAATATATATATAATGAACATCAAGTATTACTAGTACTTTATTTTCTTACACCTTATTTATACCAGTGCCATACAAATCTCTCCACCGACTGAATAAACTTTTCTTTACTTTGCTTCTCATGTACAACCTGCTCATCTAAATAATGTATGTTCATCATGAGACGGAGGCTCAAAAACTATACTAACCTGAGGAATGGCAAAACCTATGATGATCCCTCCAACCTTTGGCAAATTATTCTCCACTACCAACATCACTGCTGAGACACAACCAACTTGATAGATGTTGCTCCCCCCTTGAAACTGAAATGCGGAAAGTGAGGAGTTAATTACTCATTTATTTTTATGAAAATAAATCAGAAATATGCTTTAACTGTTCTATTTTAATCAAAACATGTATATCCAGTTGCAACACACACAAAAAATAAGTTGAACCTATTAAGAATAAATAGTAATTTTATAATAATAATGTGAAATCATTAACGATTTTAAAGAGATAATCACTGAATGGTAATAATAATAGTATCATGATTAGGTGTAGTCAAATAAAAGGTGAAGAACTCGAATATTTGTAAACAAAAAATTTTTTTTCAAAAAGATGTCAGACAAACCTTGTCACTCAGTGAGTTGGCTCCACATAGTATGTTAGGAACTCCATCCTAAGAAAAAATTTAATAATATTTAGCTTCCAGAACAACATTAATATACAAGTGATGCACAACTACAAGTGGTACAACGTAAGTACTAAAGTAATGGCCACCCTCCAGTTACAGTTTTTAGAGCACAAGTTCCCATCCCATGAGTTGTGACACCAAATGGGTTTTCTTTGGGTTCGCCAGGTGAAATTGTAAGTCTTTAAACAAGGTATTGTGATTGTAAGTCTTTAAACTAGGTATTGTGATTGTAAGTTTTTAAACAAGGTATTGTGATTGTAAGTCTTTAAACAAGGTATTGTGATTGTAAGTCTTTAAACTAGGTATTGTGATTGTAAGTCTTTAAACAAGGTATTGTGATTGTAAGTCTTTAAACAAGGTATTGTGATTGTAAGTCTTTAAACTAGGTATTGTGATTGTAAGTCTTTAAACAAGGTATTGTGATTGTAAGTCTTTAAACAAGGTATTGTGATTGTAAGTCTTTAAACTAGGTATTGTGATTGTAAGTCTTTAAACAAGGTATTGTGATTGTAAGTCTTTAAACAAGGTATTGTGATTGTAAGTCTTTAAACTAGGTATTGTGATTGTAAGTCTTTAAACAAGGTATTGTGATTGTAAGTCTTTAAACTAGGTATTGTGATTGTAAGTTTTTAAACTAGGTATTGTGATTGTAAGTCTTTAAACAAGCTATTGTGATTGTAAGTCTTTAAACAAGGTATCGTGATTGTAAGTCTTTAAAAAAGGTATTGTGATTGTAAGTCTTTAAACTAGGTACTGTGACTGTAAGTCTTTAAACTAGGTATTGTGATTGTAAGTCTTTAAACTAGGTATTGTAATTGTAAGTCTTTAAACAAGGTATTGTGATTGTAAGTCTTTAAACTAGGTATTGTAATTGTAAGTCTTAAAACAAGGTATTGTGCACAAAATAATGAAAATACTGGCACAACTTTTATTGGTTCAACATTCACTTGTTTAATAGCTTAAGGTATATTCAATGCTCTATAAAAAATGTTATAAAAATGACAATTTTGATGTTGTTTGTCGTTTCAATGATATTTTTGCTTTATTTTTTAACATGTTATTTTTCCCGGGTTGGGGCAGGCAGCTTGACCAGAGCTGGGGCCCCACCAGAGAGATCCCTAACGCGATGGTCACAAAATTGTACAATACAGTATCTTAATAGTAAATAAACAGTATATATAATGTATACAATAACTTATCTCATTGCATGTCTAGTGTCTAAATAGGGAACTCAAGGTAAAAAGTAGATGACTGACTTTTATATTTAAATCTTCTTCTTATATTTGAGGGGCCCACAATCAATTTGTTGATAATTCTTGCTCCTGGTCTAAATTCAGAGTTTGCCTTCTCTTAGATGGGTTGCCGCCCAAGGCTAACAAGTCCCATCCAACTGGGGTGGTTGGGATGTTGGCCTTGGTGGGGATTGAACTCCAGACTACCAGCTATTTGGTTTGAGACAGTTTAGATCTCTCGGGCACCCAGCACCAATCTGCTATCACTTTATTTGCAGACATGAATTAGCTATAGATAATTTATATTGAGTGGACACACAGATCACATTAGCACTGTCTGTTGATGGTAAAAATAAAGTTATCTGTTGATGGTAAAAATAAAGTTACTGGTGAAATTTAATATGGTTCATACTTGAAGTCAGATCAAAAGCTGTCACATTTGCTGCTGTAAATGGCTGAAGGGAAGAAGGGGTATTAAATATCGTACAGCTGTTTTGAGCGTTCTAAAAACAAATTTTAAAGCCCCCCACCCCCCTCAGATCCTATAAAATATGTCAAAATCTAATATTACTGCGCGGAACAATTGAGAATGCATTCTCTATTTTTGTCCGTGTTCTCACTGCGGTTAAGCCATAAGAAATAATTGTCATAATTTGACCCCTCCCCGCCCCCAAAATAAATTTTTTTAAATCCAATAATCTTTATAATGATTTTACAGAAACAATAATGTGACACGGGTTCTCACACCTTGCTTTCATCTCAGCGGGTCGAGTGGTCAGCAGAATATAAGCCCCATCGCCCTGCGTGCTCATTGCCCTCGGGCAGGGCCATGAGAATGGAGCGAAGAGCAACAGGTGCCATGATCGTCTTTAGAAAGGACCTTCTTCTTCTTCTTATATATAAAGGGCCCACGATCAATTTATTGATCATTTTGGCTCCTATGCATTTACAGGGGATTTGCAATGCTTCTGTGCCTGGTGTTGATGAGGACATTTCAATGATTTCCAGTGCCACTTTGTGAGGGAATCATGCATTGGGGGTTTGAAGGCTTGAGGCAATAGACACAAATGAGTCTAGTGCTGTCGCCTCAACTGTTCCTTTTGAAAGCTTGTTCCAGTCCCTGATTGTCTTGGGCAGGAATGAGCAGCTCCTATACTGGCTTCTGGCTGGTATGAGCCTTAATTGCCTTTCATGGCTTCATCGCTGTCTATGGTGAATTTAATAGTGAATTAAACTATAAAGTCGTATGAATAACGTACATATTTTCTACTGAGACATCCCCCATCATTACGAAAATCGGGTGTTGTTAATTTTATAGAATTATTGGGAGAGCCCCACCCCCCACACGCTGTTTTACGCAAAATCTCCTTAATCAACAACACTCCATGGGTTAAAATATTATACGTTCAAAATATTTTTAAGCACACAAAAAAACCAGCCAACCTGTATCATCCCACTTCACTTCTATAATTACAAAATTGACTTTGAGAGTGCTTATTCTATTTGTTTAACAATTCATAACTCAATTCATTTCCTAAAGGTTGATATTATAACTGTAGATTGTCACTCATCTGCTCTATATCCCACCCCCTTCAAAAGATTAAATACTAATCAAGATTAAATCTAACTTCTTACATTTATAGTGTCTTGCTTTGCACAGCAGGAATGTGGCACAGCACAAGCTAGAGGACTCTTGTTTTCTTTAGAGCAGTTGTAATATTCATTATTGTTCCAATCCTTGTAGCCATCATGTGACATTCCACAGCAACCAAGCTGAAAAAGAAGGAAAAAGAAGCCTTAATCCTCTTCAAATGTCTCAATTCTTAGAGCACAAAAATGGTATGAGTTTTAAAGTAAAAGAAACTATTCAGAGATACATTTTTTTTATGTACTGTGTATCCAATTCTTGCATCACAAAAATGTATTTATTTTATTTTTGGATTAAATCAAAAGTTTTGATCATATAGGACAATGCTGGAACAAAGTTTATTTTTGGTTAACTCAAAACAAAAATGTTTGTACTTTTAAAAATCATTTCTTTTTGTAAGTGTATTTATATCTATTTTTTTCTGATCATCAACCCTATTTAGACAGAGCCAATTTAGACTGTCTGTGTCAAGAAGACAGAGCCCTTTTCACAAGCCCTTCAATTACTTTGCCAAAAAAAAATAGGAAAAAAAACTAATTACTTTACATTTAAATATAATATATATATATTATTGTAGGGAATTGAATAAACTCACACAATCTTTAAGAATCAAACTGAAAATCTCAACATTAATGCAAATGAGATATCCTGATTTGCATAATTTATGATTACAATTTATTTTTACACTTAGACTTAGAATAAAATTGTCTTACTTGAAGAATTGGGTTAAATTTTATGATTGATGAAGTCCAAAGCCATATTTAAATGAGATTCATTGTGAAAAATTGCATAAAATATTCCCCTGGACTGCTTATGCTTTTTGGAATATTTCACGGTTACATATTTTTTAAAGCATTAATAGGGGTCACCAGGTAATAAAAAAATTAATATAAAATGACATAACATCATAAACTATCAATTGAAGCCACCATTAAAATGGTCAGATGAGCGAAAAATGTGAGAACCAATCTGATTAGCTTTTACATTATCCAAAAATGTCATGATTTTAAATATCTGGATATGTAATTTTCCAGAAATTTATCCCAAAGTTGCAATATAATCTTAACACTGAAATATCCATTTTACAATTCTAAATTGAATGGGAAAACAAATTTTGATATCTTTTTTTAAATTTTCAATAATTAATCTGGCCAAGAATTTTGAAAAGGTCTAACATATGTACTTATAATTATATTTAAAAGAGGTAGAATGACAAAAATTTATGCAAATGTAACTAAAAGTGTATACAAATTGCTCCTTCAAGCGTTTATTTTAAATGTTGCATAATAAGAGCACTAATTATGTGATTTGAATGCTAACCTCTTCTTGGATCCAATCAACAAGCATTTTCTTATCCTCTCTCTCTGTATAGAGTGGAATGAGCTCCTCTTTCAATGTCTTGATGAAAAGTTCTCTGAACTCATTAGATTTCAGAAACACGTAAACAGCACCACCAACTTGGCCCAAAAATATAACACACAATGAAAAGTAATACTGTTGGGAAAGAGAAAAGAAAGGTAACTTTAGAGAAACTCCATAAACTAATGGTTGTAATAAGATGGCAGATCGTGCAGATTCATGCAGTCAATGCTTTCAGGCTACAAGTCAAGGGTCATAAAAATATTTAAAAATGTATGAAATCAAATGGAAAAATGGGACTGAAAATGAGAATAGTTCTAACAACCTATGGGTTATAATTCCAATATCATAGATCAGGCAGCTCAATGTTTTTGTCCAACAGATATTTAGACCAATTTATACAACATATTTTAACAGAGCAAAGAAATCCAATGGATCAATGAAAAGCAGAACACCTTTGAGAATGTTTAAAATGAACTATAACCAGAATATATCTTACGTTTACCTGACCCTTACATCATTTTAAATAAAAGAATTGTCAAAATTTTTAATCTTTCAAAATATTTTTTTTTTATAAACTTACTAATTTTATGAGACAAGTGTTTTCCCGAAGTGCTCCAAGGCAACCACAGAATCCAAGCATAAACATGAGGCAACCAATGATGACAGATAGAATTGAGATGTCTGTGATGAAATCAAAGACAGATCTAACATCTTCAAAGGAGAATCGTTCTTTCTCTAAGTGTGCCCAAGTACCAATGGCAAGTAAAGATAGCCCAGCAAGCTGTGGACAAAGACAAATAGTGTAAAAATAATAAATATTATAAATTAAATAATGTAATCAAAAACTTTCCCCATACATACAAGTGGTTCAGAGGTCTTGTCCTCGCTGCTGTGATCTGATCTATCACTCAGTTCTGTGGTCAGAGCATGTTTCTGTCATCTGCATGCCCTGGGTCAGCTGCGTCCTCAACTTAATAAGAGAACAGCCAATACCATAGCACTCATTCTAATCCAATCAAGATTAGATTACTTTTACAGTTGTCAGAACCCAATTCAGAGACTCCAGAAGGTACAAAATACTTCAGCACGCATTGTATCACGGCTAAAGAAATCTGACCACATCATCCCAGTTCTTAGAGATCTCCATTGGCTTCATGTGAGTGATTGCATTGACCACAAAATTACGTCCCTGGCGTACAGCTGTATAGAAAGCTCTGCACCTGAATATCTTAAAGAACTGACTTCTAAACACATATCCCACATATTAAGGGGAATTGAAAAAAGATAAAAAAATCATTTAACTCTTTTCATTTCTCTTATATAGAGAGCGTACAACTTTATACATAGGTTTTTTTTTGCTCATAAAATTATGTCTTTTTTTTTTTTTTAAGTATTCTATAGTTATTTGATAATAAAATTGGAAGAAAAATGTAAAAAAAATAAAAGTTAAAGATTTTGAATTATTTTCTTGTTTTTTTTTCGAGTTCGAGATTCATGTGACATGCCGAAGCGTTGGTCGCTATCTTAGCAAATTTCTGCAAGACGCTTGTCGACTCGGGAGCCCAAAATGTTAAATAATGAATACTACTGTCGAAAATGTTGATCAAATTTTATCTGAATCTTCTGGCGAAGATAGTTGGGAACCCGAATCTAGTGATTCTGATGATTATCTTCCTTTGCAGCCGATTTTAGCTGTTAACACTAGAAGGTTAGTAATCGAGTGCTTCGTCATTCAATTTTTATTTATAGATTTCTTACTATTATTTTTTTTTATCGGTTTAATTTTGTTTTTAAGCATATTGTAATATTTACTAGACATTTTTAAATGAATCTACGCAAAAAAAAATATTTTTTAACATGTGAATATATTATTACATTTATTTTTCTAGAAGACGTTATTCTTAGAAACTGTTGCTAAGGAATGTAAACAATGCAGGTGGCACTGCTTATTATGATATATTTTGTCATACAGCACAAGAAATTTGACATCAATGTGTTGTTTTTTTTTATTTTAATGTACTGACAATACATTTTGTAGTCATAATGGTTTTCAGACAGAATTGAAAGTACACAAAACTTGAAATTAAATTGAAGTACATATTTTTTTATTCATTTCAATCCTAAAAGTAGCATATAGGTCTATAAATTCTGTTCTTTTATATTTACAGGGTAAACTCATATGATGATCACGACGATGGCCCACCAGTTCCAATTCCCTAGTTTCTCCCAGCCAGAAAGCCAGGCTTACATCTAAGGGAAGAAATGTCAACAAGGGATATAGTAAGGCAATTTCTAGACTCTCAAGACTTTTTCAAATTGTTTTTTACTTTGGATTTAGTGGAAACATTTAATTTGTGAAGTACACTAACAACTATGCCTAAACCATGGGGCCTACTAAGCCTTCAATCTACAGTGGTCGGTATGATGTCTCAGCAGAGGAATTTAACAAATTTCTAGGACTTCTTATGTACATGTCAATTGTACAGGTCCCCAGTGTTCAAAAATACTGGTCTACGTCAACTTTGTACCATGGAGTTTGGGCCAGAGCCTTCTTGACCAGAAAAAGATTTATTCAAATAATGACATTTCTCAAAGTTTCAAATATTGAAACAGAGAATAAGGAGGACAAACTATGCAAAGTCAGATTGCTTTCTGATTTTATATGAAGAAATGTCAGAAGCTTTACCAGCCTCGCCAACAGCTATCGATAGATGAACGCATGGTAAAAACAAAGGGAGATACACATTCAGACAATACATAAGGGACAAGCCAACGAAATGGGGTAGAAAGTTTGGGTCATAGCAGAGGCAATAACAGGCTACACCTATGATTTTGATGTGTATTTAGGGTAGCAAACCCAATCATCAAATAATGGCTTGGCCTATGATGTAGTAATAAACCTTATCAAATCTGTTAAAAACCAAGGCTACCAAGTGTTTTTTGATAATTTCTACAGTGGATATAAATTACTCAAAGATCTGTTATTACTAGGAAGACTTGCTTGTGGTACCATTTTGAAAAATAGGAAAGGTTTTCCTAATGAATTAAAAGACATTGAAACTCATGAAAAAAAGTCAAAGAGAGGAGATATGAGGTGGATCAGAGAGGATGAAGTTTTAACTGTTCAATGGAGAGACAATAAGACAGTCTCTCTTGTTTCCAATCATATGACAGCTAATGGATTTTCCTTTGTAAACAGGAGAGCCAAAGTTGATGGTGTCTTCAGACAAATTATTAGTGAGACAACCTAAAATTGTGAAATCATACAAAGCATTCATGTGTGGTGTAGATAAAAGTGACCAGTTAATAAATAAATATAACACACTAAGGAAAACAAAAAAGTACTGGAAAACCCTTTTCTTCCATTTTGTCGACATTGCCAGGGTGAACAGTTATATTCTTTTTCAGGAGTGGAGAAAAGAAAATCCTGACATTGAGGAACTAAAGCGGCCTAACCACTACTTACAAACTGATTTCCCCGAGGAACTTATTAGAACATTGGGTGGATTACAAAAAACTGATGAAGTTCCAAGTGCCACAAATGTTAGCACCTCAAAATATCAGGCAGTGCATCCAATTGTCCCTAAGTGCAAAAATTTATACAGAAATTGTAAGCTTTGTTATAAATTGGGGATGCAAAAAAAGTCCACAATCAAATGCAGCACCTGTGAAACTTACCTTTGTTTTAATAAGACAAGAAACTGTCTTGTAGAGTATCATAAAGTTTAAATTGACCACATGTATATTTTCTTTGGTGTAAATATTTATAAACTTGTAAAAAAATAATAATTCTTGTTTAACAAGTTGTGAAGGGGTGGTCTATTGATTTTTTAAAAATTATTTCCCCTTGTTAATACATTTAACAAAATCTTTCATATTTTCATTACATGCCATTAAAAATGTTTGAATTCTTTGAATTGCATACAAAAATGAATTGTCTTTCTGAATAAATCATTTTTTTTTTAAAATTCTAGATACATTTTTTTTTTCCTTCTTTGTATCTAATCAACAAAAAAATTTTTTTTTACTTTTCATTAAAAAAATTTTTTTTTTAATCACAACTTCAAAGTAATGAACTCAAATTTTAAGAAAAATTAATTACTAAAAGCATCATGCATTTCCCTACAATTTGATATGCAACATCATGAACTTTAGACTAAAACTCTTTATGATATAGACTCTTTTAAAGTGTCTTTTGTGGCATCACTAGAAATCTTCAGAAAATAATTAAAAATTCAAGGAATGTAAAGAGTTAAGAAACGGTAAAAGATATTTTTCTTTAAACAGATTTAAGAACATCAGAGCGCTGTGAGCATGCTAAAATAGCATGGATACAAGTGATATATAAGTAATCAATCAATCTTCTTAGTCTTACACTTAATTTTCTCAAACTCAATGATTGACAATGATTTGAAATCATCACTCAACTCAGGTCAACTGAGAACATCAATACGGACAATCAAACTCGCTTAGTAATGATTTGCTAGAATGAAATATATCAAATTATAATGCAATAAATATAACTTTAAAAATTTAAAGCAAGTGCTTCCTACCCAAAAAGTAAAATTGAAGAAAAATAGAATATATTTTAGCACTGGGTTGACGAAAGTATCGCGGCTAGTACAACAAGCCATTGTAGTCACACGCTGAAGTTTTAAATTGTACAGATTTCACCTCCGTTGTTTGTTTTCTCATACTGCTAAAGATTAAATCTATTTTAATGGTTGTTGTATGAGAAAGAACGACACATTCTTTTAAATCCACCATTAACTCTATGCCCTAAAGGGTACATAGGCCTAGATTTGCAGCCTATGTACTATGTTTTTAGTTTACTAGGAAGTGAAGTATAACCATTTTACCGAAAGCACAGTTCTATCCGAGATGCATAGTTTTTATCCATTGAAAATGAAGTTACTTTAGTTACGGAATTTTTTTTAATAAAAAAAAACGTATTTAAAAAATATCGGAATTTGGTATCATTAGCTTAAAAACAATATTTGAAAATAAGAAATTACATAAAAATTATTATTATTATATTGCAACCCACTAGATGCCAAAAAATAAGCAAACAACCCAAAACGTACTTTTTCATCCGAGATAGACTTTGAGTTCGGTTGTACTAAATAATAAATGGCCTAAATGTGATACCCACTGTTAAGCCTATTCAATGAAAAGTTACGAGAGATGCCTAGTGAAGGGATAAGCCGTAATCTTAAAGTTGTATTTACACTCTATTTATTTACGTTTAGTATAGCAGATACGTTACCAGTCACTGTGACTAGAGTCATAGGTGCCGCTTGAATACGACTTTATTACACGAGAGTGAGAGCAGCACCAATACATTATGGAAATAAGTTCTTCTACACAATCAAAGGTTCGTTTAAATATTTGAATTGAACAACTAACCAATTTAATGTCATAAATGTAATTCCATAACTAATGTGCCTAATTGGCACTCTCTACAGCCAACTCCATCAGTATCTTGCATATGTTGATGACATAACACTTAAGAGTAGTAATAAAGACTTAACAAAAGCCTTTTCTGAATAAGAATACCCATGACTACCAGCAGCGCTGGACGTAAATAATCACACACAAAACAAAATGCATGACTATGATTACTATGAAGAACAGATGAAACCATTAAATTTAGAAACATCAATTTTGAAAAAGTAAATCAATTCAAATACCTAGGATAATTAATAAATGAAAGACGGCACTAACAGAAATAAAAAGAAAAAAATATTGGCCAGAAACATGGCATACTTCAGTAGTCACAAATACTCAAAAGTAAAAACATTACAAGAACATCAAATAAAACTATATATAAAACTGTAATCACACAATGTGTAACATACGTAAGTAAAACTTGAACCCTAACAAAAACGGCAGAAAACCTAGTAAACACATCGGAGAGAAAAGTTCTCCTGAAAATATGCAGGCCAACAAAGGATTACTATGGATGGAGAATACGAACCAACCAGGAATTAAATTCAAAATCTCACGATTGTAACAGAAATTAAAAAAATAACTTAGACAGAAAGCCAAATCGCAGAGGATTGAAGAGTGTGCACCCCAGAGGAACCAGCTCACATGCAAATGTATAGATGATGTGGGAAAAGCTATTAAGCACCTGAGAATCCAGGCATGGAAAAGAAAAGTTAGGCCTGGGTGGAAGTAAGTGGTGAGGGAGACCAAGGCCCTACATGGTATGGTGTTTTAGAAAATGTTTCATTGATATATTGTAAATTTGAAGAAGAAAAAAATGCATGTATTTTTTACATTTTTGCTGTGGGGTAATAAATTAAAATTCTTACAAAGGGTGCTATACGTTCATTATGAAGCCATTTAAATGAAGAAAGTGGTTGTGTTAGAAATTCTAAATAAACAATATAACACACTGCATGTTTGGAAATTCATACTGTTTCATCTTCCCTCAGATAATTCATATAGGGCCTTGGCCTATTAATAAATATATGATGCCTTTTGTAAATACTTCCTTCTTCTTTTTTATACTATTTACATACAGGGTGGGCCAATAAAAGTGAGAACATCTCGTAGCGTAGTATTTTACGAGATGTTCTCACTTTTATTGGCCCACCCTGATTAATTTTTTAATGGGTCGTTTTAAATAGCCATACAAAATCTATTGACATTTCTACAAAACAGTATTTTTAAATATTTTTTGCAACTGTAAATTGTGGGGATACTTATATAAATGAATGAAAACTGGTAATTATTATACCAAAAGTTTGTTTGTTTTGTTATTTTTTTTAACGAACAACCGTTTTGAACCAAAGTATTTTTAAAAAATCATTCTCATGAAGTATTTAAAACAAATAAATAGTTACAAAATAAAATTATGTAACAACATTTATTTATAAATACAACTATTAAAAAAAGGAATTGTGTAACCCATGCATGGCCAAGGGAACTAAATTTCAACTAGCATCTTTTCAGTTGTTAGCCAGTTAAGTGTAGGAAGATGCTATATTAAATTCATATATGCGCCAAGATGCCTCCCATTATTTTGAACTTATCAAACATTTTCTGGGGAGGGGCTTACTCCCCAAAGTAAGTCACCGGCCCAAACTTCACCACCAATTTCGTCAGGCGCACTCGATCTCTTCTCCGTCCCCCAATTAAAGTGATGGTACCGACATGGTTTAATCATTAAAAAAGGCGCTTGGTGTAAGTAATAAATAATGAATTTGTTGAAAGGACAAAATGGTGATTGGAGTTTGGTACACATAGTTGGAGTGTATACCAGTGACAAAACTAAGCTGGGGCTAAAAGCATACTGTCAGGGGGCTCCGCTACCAGAATGAATTTATGGTGGGGGGTGACGAAGTCAAAGCTGGCTCCGGGCGACAAAATGCCTAATTTTGCGCCCCCCCCCCCGAACCCCCGAAAAGCTACCCCCACCTCCCCCCCCCCCCCCCCCCCCCCCCCGCGGATAAAAATTACCCGGAAAAAAACTGGCCTAAACGCATGGGTAACCTGGACCATAAAACTTTTCTTAACATTCCTTGCCTGGTAGGCTATGGACAGAGCCGTGCCAAGGAATAGCGGCGCTCAAGGTGGACTAGTAAGGCGATTTTAGCGCCTCTGACTTTGTGAAGTGCATGGTATTTTAACGTTTAATTCAATATTAAGGGCCTTTCCAAAGACGATGATGGCGCCCCCTGATGTCGGCGCCAGGGATAATTGACCCTCTCCTTCACCCAGCACAGTATATAGAGGGATAGGGGGCCTCAGTGCATTACTTTGCTTAGGGCCCCCGCTGCTGTAAAGAAGGTCATGCGGCAAGTTCCGACCTTTCTGGACCAAAAGGTTAGAGGTACTCGTCCGTTAACGGGAAAATTCCGGGCTAAAAATGTCAGACTGGAGACGGTAGCCGCTAATGCCACTTACAAGACGTTAACTACTGAAGTTCGGGATGCTGTCATCAAGGCAAAGAAAAAAATTGGGTTGGTATACGTGGGGGAAACCTCAAACTGAAAGACGGGGGGAAATTTTTGACGATTAATTTACTCTCTCTGGAATGGGGAAAACGAAAAACTCATGACCTTTGCAAGCGACAACAGGCATGGTCCCCACAGATGCCAAAAAATGCCGATGCCCTTTAACGGGCATTTTGCTAACGTGAGTCCAAAACAGAGAGACCAATGAAAGCCAAAAACGTATCCGACCCAGGAAGCCTGGAGAAAACGCGCATGTGGTGGGGACCACATGCTGCGATTTTTACCTCACCTTTCACTCTGACCGAATGGCAGAAAACGATCGATAAATGCAAAGCTTCCAATGCACCGAGATAGTATCTGCAGCCAAATAATAATTTTTTTTTTAAAACTTGGCACGGTAGCTAGGACAACGCTATTGAATTTCATTAACAGACCATGGACCACAGGAGCCGTGCCCAGAGCTTCGCTAAGCGCTAAAATCGCCCCTAACCCCAAAGAGGGGAAGAATAACGACTACCTAAGCAGATAATAGTAAGTAGTAGTGAGCTACCGTCCCATCTCCCTAACATCAGGTCTAGGAAAGGTATCTGAGTGAATTGTCATTAAACGACTCTATTGACACATGGAGAGTGCTAGTTGTCTGAGCGTAAACTAGGCGGGTTTTCGCAATGGGAAGTGTTCCGTCTTCTCTAGCCACAACTAGAGGGGTAGTGAGGGGGGGGCAGGGTGACAGATGTCCCCGGGCGCCAGCTAGTTAGGGGCGCCAAAATGTGTTTTAATAATATATTATTGGTAAAAATAATGGGTTTGAGAGTTGAAAATAAGAAAAGGGGGCGCTTTGAAATGTATCTTGTCCCCGGGCGCGAATCTTGTCTCCGGGCGCTAAACACCCTCGCTACTCCTCTGGCCACAACCGATGGTCTCCAAAAAAGAATCCCATACAGTGGCTGATTTTTTTTTTTAACCTCCGACAAGCCTATGATAGGGTCTCGAGGTCCGGTTTATTGTTAAAATTACAAGGCTTAGGCGTAACTGCGAACACGTACAGTTGGCTCGCCGGTTTTCTTACAAGCCGGACGATCAACACAAGATTTGGCAACCTCCAGGAAGAGAACTTTGGAATGGGGATTACCACAGGGGTCACGGGTCAGCCATTAGTTGAACACTCTTCCTCGCCTATATCAATTATTTGCCCGGGATATTGGCAACAAATGCAGCCATCTATGCGGACGATTTGGTAATCTGCCGGTAAGGACGCCAATCGACTACAACAGCTACTACAGCAAGACATTTCGTCTATCAATAGGTACATGCAGCGGTGGCATATGGAAATCAACACAGAGAAGACGTTATATTCACTATTCACAAACGGTTGTACCATTCTCAAACATGAGATTGTGCTCAAGGTAAATGATGTGACGCTGAAATGGGAAAAGCAACCGGTTTACTTGGGAGTCAAACTGGGGTCAAAAGGTGTAAATGCATAATTTTGTACAAGACCTGTACAAAACCTGAACTCTTAGGCAACCGCTAAGCTTAACCTCGTGAAAAAGCTCGCGTAAACGAATTGGGGCGCCGGAGCAGGTCACTCAGATCGCTTTCTGTGGTGGGGCGAGGGATGAACTTAGCAAGTAAAAATGCATTGGAAAAAATAGGGTGTAATCCAGAATCATACTCTGACATTATGAAGACTAAATGAAAAGGAACCCTGCTTCCAAATGCAGAATAACTGGATGAAGGATAGTGGACTAAAAAGGTCCTCTATCATGCATCAAGTTGTAGAACTTGAAAGGACAGTCAAACTCCCCAAGGACAGAGAAAGACTGACCCCCATCCAAGTCAATCCGCCATATGCGGAACATCCCCGTCCCAATATGCGCTTGGCTCTGAA